CATCTGAACTCTAAAATCATTCAATATTTTATGGCCAAGTCAAAGTAGATGAAACTATAAAGAAGACAGAGAAACAGAAAGAAGAAGGGAAAAAGGAAATTGGAAGAATAGCTTATAAGGAAAACAATAGTGCCTCTCAAGGTACAGGAAGTGGACAATAGTATTATATGATGTTGTTAAGTAAGTCACTCAGATTGTATTCCTCACCAATATGCAACTATTTGAGAAAAGAGACTTTGTCTCAGGCTTCATTGCCTAATTCTTTTCTCACCATTAACACCTAGCATAATGCCTTACTTGGAGAAAAAAATTTAAATGCATTTATTGAAAGAATGGACAAACACATCTTGGTGAATAGGATAAAAGAAAAGACTGGCATAGCATATATGATATAATGAAGCCAACGGTAGCTTAATATATTTAGGAAAGGAAAAAAGTATATAAATTTAAAACGGGATTACATTTAGCAAAAGCATAATAGAAACAAAAGCAGAGTAGAAATGAATATCTACAGCTCAGAATGGATTGGCAGTGAATCAAAACATCGTGTTGTCATCATAAGAGAAAATGAGCAGTGTAAAATGAATGGACTGTTTACTCACACGGATTGTGCTATTTGGATTCAGTATGCAGTTATAACCTACTTAGCTAAGGGAGACCTGAAAAATATTTGGAAATATTTAAAAATATACAAGAAGATGAAAGTTTATAAATAATAAAAAGCATTATAATGCAACATAGTATAATTGACTAAGATGGTTTTCTTTCTTGAACATTTATATGAAAGCACAGTATGGTGTGATAGTATTAACATTGTGATTAATATAATTTCCATATGCCTTAACCTAATCTAATATGAAGTTGATTACACTTTCTAACTCAACTCACATCGTTAGTCTATACTACTGCTAGGAATAATGAATACAGTACATTTTACTTATTGCTTTGAAAATGTGTTTACTTTCCCTAAAGCAAAGTCTTCTCAACTCTGTTCCAGGAGTTCTAGGAGAACATGAGAAATTCTATTTTTACCAATTTGTATACTTCTAGTAATCCTATAGACAAATTTATGATCCATACAACTGTTTATGCATTTGTAACACTTATTTTAAGTCATAATTTCATATTGTCCTCCTTGCTCCGTTTTTTTCCTTCTCATGTACTTTTAATTTGCTATCTTAATATATTTAATACTATTAAAAGCTGACTGACATTCTTTCTGAAACAATGCACAGGTATAAATAAATAAGCAAGTAGATGAATAAATTACTATGACCCTCTATAATATTAAATATTTCAATCACCTCTCCTCTAAGCTTCTCCCTTTCAAAAAAGAAAAGCCTAATATGTTTTTAGTTTGTCATCGTCTGAAATATCCATGTATTTCCCTGAACAGTTCATGTTTGTTGCTAAGGTGAGGATTGAAGTTTTGAATGATAATTTGGGTGTAAAAGACACACAGAAATAGCTGATATATGCGGGAGAAATGAATGGAAAGGTAGAGATTTTTAAGGTCATATGATGATAGTTTAGGAATTCCCATTGCAATGTTCGACAAATGCAAGTCAATAACTTGAGTCATTTGGAAATTACTTTTATTGCGTTCCTGGGTCCCTCTGACTATACTACTGCTCTGAACATGTTGAATCATAAATCCGATGGGCCATGTCTCCCTAAGTAGATTATGTGGACCTGTTAGAGAATAATTGTGAGAAAGTATTGCACTTACTGTAGGGGAGCTCATACTGTACCTTGCATGGAGAATTTAGAAAGGCAAAGGGAGAACCAAAGGCATTCTGGGAAAGAAAACTACACGAATAAAAGCCCTGAAGCTGATGACAAGCAATAAATAAAAGTTAAAGGTATAAAATAATTGTGCTTTAAAGACAAGTGAGGAGACTGACAGCTAGAGCAGAGAAAACTGTTGGGCACTCCAGGAAATGAGCCAGGATAGACAATGCTGGTGAAACAGAAGCTACTATGGGTTCTTGAGCAGGAGAGTATTTTAAACATGATAAATAATAACAAACTGGACTAAGGTTGTTGTAATGGGTTGGAGAGAAAGGATGGTTCTAAGAGAACTTTGGAGGAAGAATCAATTGAACATGATGACACACTAGGAACAGGCAAAGAAGCTGCTCAACTGAAACCATACTCAAGTTCTTGCTCTGAAGTGCTTAAGAATAAAAGACACCATGCATGGAAGACAGGGGAAGAGTGGAAGGAAGGATCAATCGAGGACATCATAGTGGGTTTCTAGTAACACAGCAGGTCATTCAAGAAACATGGGCAGCTGGATATATAATGTTGGTGTAAAAGTAAGTACTCAGAGCTAGAGATGCAGAGCTAGAAATCATGTGTGTGGAGGTTATGGGGTAAAAAATGGGCTTTCTTTTTGCTTTTAAAAAGTTTTTATCTTAATAAAATTAAATTGTTTTCATTATAGAAAATTTGGAAAATATAAAGAAATACACAGACGAAAATTAAAATTGCTTGCAATCCTACCATACAAAGATAAAAATTATAAACTCTCTAGTACATCTCCTTTAAATATTTGTTTTCTATACATCCATTTTAATGTATATGTATAGTAGCATGACTCAACACTTCTCATTGGTACTCCGCCTTCTAATAACTTTTCATCCTCTGGAAAACCGGAGTTCTGTCACCCTGTGAGCCTAGGGAATCAGCACACTGGATCCCTCCCTTGGAGAGAAACAGAGTGCACTAGTGTATTCAGAGCTCCCACAATGTTGAATCATAAAAAAAAGACTTTACATCATAGATAACTGATGATCTTAGATGTTTTACCCACACATGTTAACATCACCCTGAACTGCTCTCCCTCTGAAAGGTGGAGGTGTAGTTGTCAGGAGCTTGAACTTTGGAAGGGGATAAACCTAGGTTCAGAGTCTGCCTCCCAGCTTTGTTGTCTTCTTATTACTTTACTCTCCACAAAAGAGGCACATGAGCACTTACCTCACAGAATGGTGTGAGGTTTAAAAGAGATAATATACATGAAACATTAGCATGTCTGGTATGCAGTTATCACTCCAAAAACAGGGGCAACTTTGATGATGTCATAATTGTTAACCTGCAGTTTCCCCTAATCATAATTATTTGACATTTAATATTTGTCTAAATCAATCCTTTTAACGACTCTATATTAGTCTATTGTATGGCTATCCCATAATTGATTTGTCTAATTCCATACTGTGGGACATTTATTGCCATTTTGTTCTTTCACAAATAATGCTTCAATGAAAATCCTTACGTATAAAATTTTGTCAACAATTCCTTATGATTGATTTCTAGAAATAAAATCACTGGATAAAGGGACATAAATATTTTTAAGGTTTTTGATACAGCTTACTACTAAACTGCCCTCCAGAAAGCTTGTATCCAATTGCATTTCCACTATGGGCTGGCTGGTCAGTCACCCATGTTTTGATCTTTGTTAGTGTAGCTGGTTGCTACACAGAAGCAGAAAGAAAGGAAAGTCTTAATACATTTATGCTTGTTTTAGGTATAGAAAACAGAAAGAAGTTAAATATAAGAAGTAGCTACTTGAAAGATAAACCCATTTCCATGCTGACTCCCCACGCCTCTAGCTGGGCTGAACAGAGCAAGCCTGGAGGTAGGCATCGTATAGGAGCGGTACCTAAAAGGGCATCACTCCAATGGTTACAGATTAAGATAAAAGTAGGTAATACAAATAGATGAAAGCAAATGTGAAAATAACATAGTGAACAAATATGTTTAGAAGTTGGGGGACTTATCAAAATAACACAGATTGTTTTAACTCATACTGTAAAAAATCCGGTTGTTTGTTATTTTTGCAGTAATCGGTATTAAAAAGCTGGCTATTTCATTCTCAATGACATAAGAGTATATTTACATGCAAGGTGACAGGGCATTGAGATGGCTGGGTTTTAAGGGTATTCCATTTCTAGAAATCGATCACAAGAAATTAATCAGAGGTGCTGAAAAAATTTTATATGCAAGTGAAGTAAAAACAATATACTGGGGTCCTTGAAAGTAAGGTCTTTGTCTCACTGATCTTGGATTCCCCTTTATCTATATGGGGATAGGCCCATAACAGGTAAATCATATAAGTTTGCTGTATTTATAGAGACTTTGTGTATGAGGTCCTCACTCTCTGTTTATGGGTAAGACTCTTATTCCTCAAGAGAGAGAGATACAGTCAGTCAATTTAGATAGTGATATCATTGATAATGTATTTTCAAGATGTATCAAGAATGTATGGGGATTAACAATATTTCTTTCAGCTATGTATGATATATTTACTAACAGATACCAAGGAAAGGTACCTTCTAATGATATATTCAGCTCAGAATCAAGCTGACTTTCCACATAATGCCACAAAATGTCATCAGATTACTCTGGAAGGCCACTTCATGCTTTAAATGATTTTTCTTATATTTAAATAAGGTTAATTAAATAAGAAAAGTGAAATACCTTATTCATAATCAGCCTTCTTAATGACTCCACATTAGTCTATGGTATGACTATCCCATAGTTGACCTGTCCAGTTCCGTACTGTGGGATATTTATTCCCATGTGACAGCTACCCCTGTGTCAACTTTTACTAAGGCTTTGAGTTAGTTACATGAATTAACCAGTTTTGCTCTTTTTTTGAAAATTAGTTGGAGAACTGCTAACTTCAGTCACAGGTCAGGAAAGATGAATTTTAAAATGGCTAGGCAATTAGCTAAAATAGAACTAAATTCCAAAAAAAATTCACATTTTTCTACTATCTCAGTAAAGCTGTAAGTGAGTAAAATAATTAGGAGGCCTGGATCTTGGATTCTTGAGGGAAAAATAAAAAAAAAGATAAATAATATTCTTTACTTACCTGTGTATTATATAAAGTTGTAAGTTATTTCTGTACAATGTATTTACCTCCTTGGATAAAAGTTTCCATTCAACTTTAAAAGGAATATAGAATTATAGATAGTACAGCACTTAGAGGTTCTCACCTGAGTAAAGAAGGGTGGAAATGGGATATGCAGGAAAACCAGTGTAATGGCTGCTTGAAAAGTGGTTTGGAACCTGGAGCAGGATCATCCACGCCATGCTGGAAGGTCCTAAGGAAGTAAAAACAATTACTTCAGAACATACAGGGAACATGAACTGTGGAGACCATCGATACTTTT